AAATTTTCTTTTTATTTTTTAATAAACTGATAATCATTATTTATCATTATTTATACCGGATAATATATTAAATAGTATATTAAATAATATTTTTAAATTACGATTTTTTATGTTTTATTTAAATGAAAAAATAAAAAAATAAAATTTTTTCTTTCTATTAACGACACTTGTCATTTATATAAGTAATTATTTTGAAGGTGGGCATGGATTTTTGGACTCTATAATTGTGGTCATAAAAATTTGCATTTATACTTAATAATTCAAAACCAGAGACCGAAAACCTTGATTGATATTTCGTCACTTTTAAATAATAATTACTCATATATAATTTAAGTTTCATTATATTAAACAGCGTTAGTTCCGCGAAACTTTAAGTTAGACCAGCGATATTCAATAATATGATCAAGTAATCAATAAAATTACATTTATGCAGGATCCGGGAATTTCGCTCGAAAACAAGGGAAATGCAGCGGCATGTATGCTGTACAAATATGTACGGGAACAACCACCCTGTCATGTCACTTATTTTTGATAATAGATCTCTTTAATTTTTGTATATAATTATATAAAAAGAAAGAACGATATTTATGCGAAAATAAATAAATAAACAAAAATTTTTTGATACTTATTAAGTACATTAGATAGGAATAATCAATCTGTTATTATATAACCCTAATATAAAAATAAGATAATGTCAGATTACAATCCTAGACAATGACATTTCTTATGGTGTAACGGTGGGAAACGGCGAGTCTGTCACTTGCACACAGGTCTGGTCGCAGCACGTCACACAGCAGCTAAGTAGGCTCGCTTTACACTATTAGCTATATGGTTCGTGTCTGGACTAACACTCTTTTCTTCTTTTCTTGTAGGCGAAAGAATGCCAGACCAATATACTGTATCTAACTTTATTATACTTCGTCCATAAGTCACGTGATCCCATGCGAAACTAAAATATAACACAGAACACAATAGTTTATTACACAGATAGCCTTTAAACGTAAGGTGAGCATACTTGCTCCCTAAGATGAATACACTTTTTCTAACTTTATTATAACGAAATTTAAGTGTATTTATATATTATTATTTATTTGTTATAATGGAAAAAAATTCGTCGTACATAGAGTTGGAACTATCAGAAAATAACATCGTATTTGTGAAATTAGATGTTTGTGTTTGCGTTTGCGAAATTTTATATATCAAAGTTCATATCCTAATTGCGTCATATCGTGCTTATAAAGCATATCAAAAGATCTTAATTGCATAGAAAAATCTGTACATATATAATGCTTATACAAAGGAGATATTTCGCTTAAGAGTTCTAAATAAAAAAGATAATATTGCATTAAATAGATGTACATAAAAAGGAGTACGGTGTTAATGCAAAGAAGAGAAAGATGAATTTTAAAATTCAAAGTATGTAAGAAATTTAGTGAGCGAAAGAATTTTCATTAATAGAAAAATTTTTATGCTCTATTAGTTTGGCAAGGTTGGGTGCACTCTGTTTAATAAATTTCATCACTTCGTTCTCTACAAAAAAAAAAAGAAAAGAAATTATTGAATTATTGAATAGTTGATTACAAACTTTGGGGTACTGTATCTTCCGAAAACATTAATACTTACTCGGTTGTTCAATGCACCATTTATCTATTTCCTGTAGATTAACTAGTAATTCCGTAGTTCGTTCTTAAGAATAAATAAAGAAAGTTATTAATAGCGTTGCTCATATAATATATACAGTATATCACACGAGTATCTAACTATAAGTTCATACCATTTGCTATTAAATTTAAAGAAATAGAATCGGGCTCGGATAGAGTTCCTATAAAACAATATACTGTATTAGTAAGAATTTGAGAAAGATAAAAGAAGAACATTAGCTTCATTAATTTTTTCTTACTTTTCTTGAACAATCTAGGAATTGATGAATAATGAGGATAATTTTCGCAACATTTTTCCCACCCTTTGAATACGGACCCAGTAATTATTGTTTTCTCCTTGAGTTTTCTCGATACATAATCGACATTTGGACGTTGATCTGGATTTTTATCCCAACATTTTTGATAAGTCTCAATGTACTCGCATGGCGTATCTTGTGTTGGCTTCTCTCTTTCACCATATAATACGGATGCTAGAATATTACAATTATTCCAGCCTTTAAATGGTGGTATTCCGCTTGATATTTCCCATAGTATTACGCCTAAACTGTATACATCGGATTTTTCGGTAAAATTTCGGTAACTTTTTTCGTTTAATACTATGGGATCTACAAATGCCAATAACCCATGGATTTCTGAAACTGTTAGACTTTTACGAGACAAGACTTTTGACATTCCAAAGTCAGTTATCATCGCTCTAACTTTCCCACTACGTGCTGATAAAACTATATTTCTTGTATGCTAACCATCATTAATAAAATATAATATATAATTTTTGCGTGTTAGTTTCTTATATCTGACATACATGTAAGTGTACGAACAAACAACTCTTACCAGGTCTCTGTGTAAAATATCGTTGGTGTGCAAAAAACTTAAACCATTTGAAATCTGTATGCTAATGTTAATCTTCTCTTCCCACGTAATGTTGGCAAATTCGTTTTTTAGATATTCGCGTAAATCACCTAACTCAGCGTATTCTAGAACTATTACATCGGAGCCTTTAGGAGCTACGTATAAAATGAAAATTTTATGTTATACTTTAAAAAGAATATACTGTATATTAAATACTTCATTATATTAAATAGGAAACTTACTTTTACTAGTGAATAGGCATCAAAAATTGTATGCGTAAAAGAAAATATTAATGTTATTAGTGATTGTAGACATTTTATCATCTCATTCTTACTTAAGCGTACCTTAGTCCGTGAAACTTTATAATATTTTCGTGAGAGTTTTTAATGTTTATTGCACGGTGAACTTTGAGCTAATTAAAAATTCGAATTTTAAATGATTTATATCGCCGTATTAAATGTTTAATTCAAAATGCATATACCTCTCTATCAAGTTCCTGGATTGATTCCGCTCTCACGTATTTTAGAACAACATATTTTTTGTTACTTCCATTACTCCACATTGCCTTTTTAACTTGACAAGTACCTCCATCCGCAAAATATTCTAATACATCAAATTCGTCATATTTAATGTTCTTTATATGCACGTCTTTTAATAATTTTCTAACTTGTTGATAATTTTCGTCAGGCTGGCTGGCAATCTTAGTTTAAAATCAAGAAATTAGAATTTTCTGTAAATCTTGATTGAATGCGTACACATGTATCTACACACCAATGTCTTCGAAACTTTTTTTACGTGTCCAAATAGATGATTTAAAAGAAGAATAACAGAAAGAAGAATGAAAAAACATATAACTTCTAAAATAAATGCAAGATTATCAGTATTTTACGTAAAAGTTCCCTTTTTAAAGTTTAAAATAATCGTTACCTTTGTAAAGCATCCTAGAAATATCTATCACTTTACTTTCTGTATAGGTATGTTCAAAAAAAGTCAAGCTAATATATGAATATGTATTGAATATCATCGAAGAAGCCGAATAATTAATTGGTTTTTTTTTACTTAATATTTTTCAAGTTTATAATAATATTAATTTGTGATGTTTGCAGTTTACGAGAGATTACGGATATAAAACTACGTCGTTATTCAATATTTATTAACGGTGTTCTTTGAATAAACGTTCTAACTTTAATATATAATATTGCAATAATACCCAAGGATGGTCGATTTTGGAAAGGAGTTGTATACGTTAAGAACGGTCAGTAAACCTGTGACGGATATGATGAGAACATAGAAAGGCCCGGGCATAAATCTTGTAAAAATGTTATGCTTTTAGGTTTCAACTTTGTGATCAAAAAATCTTTAATATTTAGAAGTTCTGGATGATGCGGTTGATCAAAAATTCGTGATATATTTAATGACTGAGTTAAATTTTCATCGATCGAGTATTGACTAGATTCGCCAGCGAAAAAACGATGAATTATATAAAAAATGATAAGGTGGTTTTTTGTTACAGTCGAAGGAATAATTGCTTTGACATAGTATCATCACCCACTGAGTTTGTTGAGGATTTATATCGTTTTCGAACGATGGTGACGATATTCAATATAAAGCAAATATAAAATTATATCTTACATATGAATCAACACCACATATACTACATACAGTAACTGACATTTCTGTATTTCTGTAACAATGAAATTGAATTAGTTATGCACGTCATGTAAATTGCAAAAAAAAAAAAACCAATTGTACATTTCCCTAATTTCCCTAGCATAAATCCCTAGACATCGATCGCGATTTACGATTTTTTATTTATTTATTTATTGAGAATTTATACACTAGAAAAAAAAAAAAAAAAAAAAAGTTGTTTCGCTTGTTTAATTTGATCGACGTCCGGTGATTTATGCTACGTCATGTAAAATTTTTTAAAAAAAAAACTAATTGTGGGGATAATAAATTACATTATCTTCTTTTTTCTTATTTGTTAATCATAACAATTGTCTGATTTTCCTGCCCAACATAAAAAAATTAACATAAAATAATCGATATGAAATTCGCACTACAGGCCAATTTTCCGAGATAAGTGGTGAAGAATGGGATGTCAAGAAGAAAAACAGTTAAAGCAATGCCTGGTTTGGAAACATCCTGAAATAATTGTTATGATGCGCAAAGATGGTTTGTTGTAAACAAAGTGTCCTTCGATTTATTACAGTAAACAGTAAATATCTTTAGTAACGTTTCCACCCATTGTCCTCAACTTGTTTATAGGGAAATATCTTTAGTGACGTTACCACCCATTGTTTAGAGAGGAAAGAGATTTTTTTTTTTTTTTAAGAAAATATATTTACATACAGTAGTGTACAGTATAATGTAAATATAACGAATGTCCTAACTAATTATTAGTCGTACATATATTTGCGGCTCGCCATAACTTGTTCTAAGCGCAATTATCGAGATGCATGCAATGCTGGAGTCTCCAAATAGCATAACGGTATGGTACCGCGAAATAATAAGAGCTTTGCTCCACATAATGGATTATACGTTCCACTCTACACTGACGCGAAGTAACTCCACTTTTACTCCACTTACTTTTACCCCACCACATCCACTACTGTACGTACTCTTTTTTATCTGCAGGACTGACCTGCATCTACCGAATGACCAAAAAACGTAAGAGAACAAGGAAAGAGGACCGACCTGCATCTACTAAAACGTAAGAACAAGATAATAACAGGATAATCTATGTATGAAATAGCTCAATTTAACTAATGCTCTGACGGAGTAATGCGGGGATGCATTTTTTAATAGTCACATGTATATGGCAGATTTCTTTTTGAAAACGACAAAAATGTTATATACGAACAATACATGTACAATATAAATTCTGGAGTACAATTGTAAAGTCAGAAAAATCTCTATCCACCTTCAAAAAGAATTACCTTGGGTAATTATTTTTGAAGGCACGAAAATGCTAGATATGATTTTTTTGGACCCAACTTTTAAACAATACATATATAATATAAATTTTAAGATCACACCAGAAAATTTCCGGTTTACCTTCGAAAATAATTACCTATATAAATAGGATTTTTTTTTTTCCTCGCGTAGGTATTGTAATAATCAACAGTTCCCTTTAATATAATGTTTTTTTATTTTTATTTTCCCTCCTGTACGTTAATGTGAGTAATTGTGGAGTAATACAGTCTTGTTTTTTAAAATGGTGAACCGAAAAATACTACAGTATATGCTTGCCTATAATGCATACAGTATGTATTTTTTTTTTTTTTCCTCACGTCAATAAAATGTTCCTATTATAAGCAACATTTTACAGTATAATAAAATAAATAAATAAAAAAAATTTTTTTTTGCGAGTTGCGTAGGTATTATAATAATTAATAGTTCTTTTTAATATAATGTTTTTTTATTTTTATTTTCCCTCCTGTACGTCAATGTGGAGTAATACTGTCTTGTTTTTTAAAATGGTGAACCAAAAAGTACTACTTGGATTTATGTGCTTGCCTATAATGCATACAGTATGTATTTTTTTTTTTTTTCCTCACGTCAATACAGTGTTCCTATTATAAGCAACATTTTACAGTATAATAAAATAAATAAATAATTTTTTTTTTTTTTTGGCGAGTTGCGTAGGTATTATAATAATCAATAGTTCTCTTTAATATAATGTTTTTTTTATTTTTATTTTCCCTCCTGTACGTTAATGAGCAGAGATTTTTTACCCAAAATAAGTGACAGGGTGGCTGCTCTCCGTATAGCATTTTTACATGCTTGTGCAGCATACATGCAGCATTTGCATTGTTTTCGAGTGAAATTTCCGTACTGTAATAATTATATATGCTAATGGTGTTGGTGATACGGAATTTACAATGTCTTTATCGTCCGATTTATTATTAATATTTAACTTTACTTATTTCCAACTTTAAAATTTTGATCACTACTGATACTGTTATTTCTTGGTGATTTACTTTCTCTGCTAAGAGAACCCAAAGACTTGCTTGTTCCTGTTTTCTTTTCGTTGGATTTCGATTCAGTTTCTTCTACCTTTTTCCACTTTCTCCAACAAAGAGGATAGTTTTATGTAGTTGGTGAAGGGGATAGAGTTTGGCTTGGAGCTTTGAGTTTAGAGTTGAGAACGCTCTTTACTTTCGCCCACTTTATTAAATAAATGCTATAACTTTACAAAACCAATTTACATTCTTTAAAGTATAAGCTAAGTCTATTCCACTACAGTAAAGTACATGATTTTAAGAGTGAGAGTGACGTGACGTTACTTTTGTGCACCATGAAAAGTGACACTTGTAATATTGAGACGCGCCTAGGGAAAGATGGTTAAGAAGATATTAGCAAGTGCGCGAAAGTCGGTCAAATCGTAATCCACCTCGAAGTTAAAGCCTTGCCTTATTTGGTGCCAAAATTCAAGCATTCGATTATCGTTACGCGAAGAGTGAGCCGTTTTAGTGACAGACTCGCCGGTGACGAAAACAATAGCCATTCCTATTTGATACAATTTTATGTGATAATATTTGTAATTTTCGAACATAAGCCTGCCCACACATTATAAAGCTTGGAAATTGAAGTTTATAAGACTTTCGATTTCCGAATTTTTTATATGCCATTGAAATAATCCGAAAATATATAATTATTACAGTACGGAAATTCCACTCGAAAACAATACAAATGCTGCTGCATGTATGCTGCATAAGCATGTAAAAAAGCCATACGGAGAGCAGCCACCCTGTCACTTATTTTGGGTAAAAAATCTCTGCTGGTTCATGTAGCATCACTATTGTTACTTTGTTATCGATTCGTAGAGCATTGTAGTAATTAATGAATAATAGAGTAACCTGAATTCTTGCTAAGTCATCCGCTCTGGTAAATATATGAGACATCACAAAATCTTTTTTTGAAGCCTTTACGTAATAATACAAGCATAAATCTTCTTGATTAGCGTGAATAGTATTCTTTTTTTATACAAACGAGTCTAGAAAGATTCCAAACTCAACTTTTGTATAAATTTTTATATCTTTCTGGAATAGAACGGAATTGTTCCTGTTACATCAGTGGTTGCGTGGTGGATAATCCTCCTGCTTCCTCTGTCTAACCTTATTACTACAATTTCTTTTTGCATTCCATGTTCAAAAAAGCATTTATCTCTTTATCCTTGCTACATGTAGGTATATCAACGGCACTCGGGAGAATTGTCGAAACTCTGATTTTGAGCTCAGTATATTTGAGTTCAGTTAATAGATTTTACATAAGACGGGAATTATGTGGTAAATACCGCTTTATTAATATAAAAATTTGGATCACAGACCGTGATACATGACGTTTTTATACACAATTGTATTATTTGAAGGCGATTTTTCCACAATGCCTTATCCTTTGACAAACCGACAATCATTTCCAAGATCCGTTTCACATCCTTGCGCAAAGTATCGTATTCTTCGGAGTTCTCGTCCAAATATTCTTCATAAATTCAATGCTTCACTCGCCTGTAAAATTTCACCCGGAGAATAAAGAAAGAAATGTCAAATGTTGCAACAGCTTTATATTGCTGATATCCTGTTGAGAATCTGTGCACAATAAAATCGTGAAGATCTTGGAGAATATACTAATACGGTACCATATTTCCATTCTGGAAATCAGAGAATCAATCTTATTTATCAGAATATAAAGCAACTGAGCTTGCACGAGACAAATAAAAAGAAATAAAAGTGACAGCAAAAAGCATGTTATCGTTCGTGGGTTTGTAGAGAAAATAACGGATTCACTACATTTCTCTCAAACTGTGATATGTATGTTAAGAATGGTCATAACTTTTTCTCTTGATTTCCTTAGTGAACTTACGAATCTGACTGCTGATCTACTCTTCATCCATAATGTTCAAGTTCTTTTATCAAAGTGTGGAATACGAGGTTAATGATCTCGAAGAGCATAATTCATCAAATCCATGTATTGCATAACCTGGATTGAAACCCGAATGCTTTTTATATATTGCATACTGAAGACAACAACCATGCCTGTGGCATAATACATTATATAGAACGCGAACAAAGCCTGTATTGTCTATAATGCTCGGAACTTGAACCGAATGAATCAATAAATGCCCTTACACTTAAGTCGTATTGTATTATCCAATTTCAGTGAAGACAGGCTTCACGTACGGTATAAGCCAGAATTTTAAGGAAAAGTCAAATGAGTGAAAATTGCTGGGTGACATAATTACGTAGTTTGTTGAGTTGTCATGTGATCAAAGCGATTATTATTACATACGTCACCTAAAAATCACGTAATGTAACAAGTACGTAATAAAAACAGCACTGTACAGTCCGTTCCGGTTGGTCCGAGTGAATGATCTGATCCGGTAAATACAGTATCTTGTTTTAAATGTCTCACGTTCCAAGAAAAGACGAAAGTGTGTAAAATCATATGAAGAATATGACGCTTGTTTAACTACTACTATATATGGCGATACATATTTGGATCCAGAAATTGTAAAGCCAGAGGTTTTGATCCGATCAAGTAAGCAATTTATCAACTTTGTTGCTTTTGATCTCTTTGTTGACGCGTCTCTTTTCATAGAGCATCCGAAAAAGAAGAAAGATCAACTTATCTTTGGAATGGATGGAAAGAACAACAAAGAAAAAGTTTCGCGTTCAGACTAGATAAAATGTAAGTTGATACAGTATCTTGTTGCTGTTAATCCCTCTATCGACTAATATAAAACCCTTCCTATGTCAATTTCCTTAGGCAAACCCCAGTTCTATCGCTTAGTCGCGTAACACAAGTTGCAAGTATTTTGGGGCGCACTTGAAAACAAGATAAGAGTTTATTTTTAAACTGTACCTTATTATTTATTTATTAAAACGCTAATCTCTCCTTTACATGCATCAAACTACTTCATTTTCTATATATTAACGAATTTTATAGATATAGTTTGGTGGAAAGTTAGGGATAGGGGGAGGGCAACGGTAGGCCGCAGGTAGGATTTCAGTTTCTATATACTAACAAATTTTGTAGATATGGTTTGGTGGGAGGGAGGGCACAGGTAGGTCGCAGGTAGGATTCTATTTTCTATGTACTAATGAATTTTGTAGGTACAGTTTGGTGGGAAGGTTAGGGATGGAGGGAGGGCACAGGTAGGTCGCAGGTAGGATTTCATTTTCTATATACTGATAAATTTTGTAGGTACGGTTTGGTGGGAGGTTAGGGATGGAGGGAGGGTACAGGTAGGTCACAGGTAGGATTTCATTTTCTACATACTAATGAATTTTGTAGGTACGGTTTGGTGGGAAGGCGCAGATAGGTCGCAGGTATGATTTTATTTTTTATATATTAACGAATTTTATAGGTATGGTTTGGTGGGAGGTTAGGGATGGAGGGAGGGTAAAGGTAGGTTACAGGTAGGATTTCATTTTCTGTATACTAATGAATTTTGTAGGTACGGTTTGGTGGGAGGTTAGGGATGGAGGGAGGGCACAGGTAGGTTACAGGTAGGATTTCATTTTCTATATACTGATAAATTTTGTAGGTATGGTTTGGTGGGAGGTTAGGGTTGGCGGGAGGGTACAGGTAGGTTACAGGTAAGAATTAATTTGCAAGTGTAAATTTATTTTCAATGAATGGTTTTCTAACTTTTATTTTGGTGAATATATTAAATAGGTAAATTATTATATTGCCGGATCTCAACTTAAAATAGCTTATTATATTGATCATTACACTCGAATTAATTGACAAGTCAAAAAAAAAAGCATGTAATAATAAATTGATTTGAATTTTAATAAAAATAAGTATCTCTAAATTTAAACAATTTAAAAATTTCGGAGTTAGCGATTTCTGTTAAAAAAAAAAAAAAATTAGCAAATATTTACGCATATATATATACGAAAAAAAATTTTTTTAGCTAATATTTATGCATATATATATACAAAAAAAAATAATTAATACAGTATTTACACATGTATATATATGAAAAAAAAATAATTGGTAGTAAGAAAAAAATGAGTCTTATATATTGTACGTTATTATGATAAATAATAAAATAATTTGAACCAATCAGAAAAATAATTAATCCAACAATAATTAATATGGAAGGATAATTAAATATATTAATTAAAAAGCATTACTAATATAGACTTGCGAAATGAAAATTGTTAAAAAATTTTTAAATTACATTAACCTTAGCATAATCAGAATTAATAATCATTATAGATACTACCAAATAACTTCTTTTTGTCTTTCATAGTTTCAATTCCGATTAAATCCAAAGTTTTGGATGGTCAAATCAGATTTCTCGTATATTATAAGTTTGGTATCTTGTTTGATGTAATCGAAAATGATATATAGTGGAAAAAATTTACTCATTGTGAATACAGTTATCATGTTATAAAATCTATAAATCGTGTTTGTAATTATTGTGTTATGAAATCTTTGGACACTACCTGTGTATCAATGTAAATGTTCTTATCAGATAGAGCCACGATCATATCAATTTTATTGAGTTCCGATGCAAATTTCATTAAATTTAATGATACTATAATTTATTCACACGATACTAGCGATTTTACAATTTTGTATATCAATACAGTATATACTACAGTATAAAATGTTTCAAAAAAATTATTTTTAAGCTTTATTTATATTCGTAACATCTTAACAATATTTTAGGTGTAATTAGTAGAAGTAAAAGTTTTGATAAACTCATGATTTTCTATACTATGTAGAAAATCGTCGAGCTATACTACAAGTATTTACTAAGAAGCGTTAATTTCTTTATTACATATACAGTATATTGATACTAGTATTTTTAAATTTTTTAAATTTTTTAAACAATGCATAATGATTTTTTTAAATTATAAAATCTAGCCTCTATGATATTTTTTCAATAGTGATACTATTTTTTTGTTTATTTTTATTTATTTATTATTACATCCATTTTTAATGCAATATTTTATATTTTATTATTTATTATTTATTTATATGTTCAAAAATTTTTTAAAAAAATTTAGAGATTGTAAAAATATAATTAGAAGTATTTAATTTATATTTTATTATAATATAAAAAAATAATATATTCCTTCAGTTAAATAATTAACAACAGTTTTTATATCAATATATTTTTAATAAAAAGAGACTTTAAAAAATATTATATTGTATATAAATAATTTAAAGTATAAAAATACATTTTGAAAAAGTTTATATATTTTTGTTTTTTAGAATATTAAAAAAAAATATTAATAAATACTTTAACATATAAAATATTTTTTTATTTAGAATACAAGTAGCAAAATATTATATTTAATTATCATTATACAAATAATTTTTAATATTTATATATTTGTAAATAATTTTATAATATAGTAATTTCTTTATATTTTTTTTAATTATTTATATTTATTATTATTATTAAATATTATAACTTAAAATAAACAAGTAAATTATAAGAGTTTACAGTCTTTTAATATTTTATTAAATTTATTATTAAATTTATTTGTATTTTTGTTTATTATATTAATTATAATATAATAATGATTTACAATTTTTTGAAAACTAATTACTAATTTAATCAAGAAAATTTTAATAATTTTAATTAGCAAATAATTAGATATTAATTAATAAAAAAAAATTATTATTAAATCAAAAATAATTTAAAATATTTGATATAGTTTGTTTAAAAAATATTAAACAAATATTTTTTATAATAAATAAATAAATATTTATTTATTTGCTATAAATTTTTAAATACATATTTCTAATTTAATATCCATAGAAGACAAAAAGTATATTCTTTTTTATATATAAATTTATTAAAACCAGAATTAAATTTTTTTTATAATATAATAAATAATAATTTAAATTAAATAAAACTTTTAATATATATTATTTATAATAAAAAAAATAAATATTAAAGTTTTATGAATATTTAATTAGTAATTTATTTTAAAATATTAATTTAAAGTTGAAAAAAATTTTTTTAAATAATTACAAAATTTAAATAGAAATTTATATATAAATTCTATTTAAAAAATAAATTTTTACTATAATAAATTTTTTAAAAAAATTATTAAATATTTCTTATCATGTTTAAATAATAATATTAAAATTATTTTATTTTTTATTTTGTAAAACTAATTTAAAAAATTTTAATTTTAATATAAAATTTAAATAAAACAAAAATTTTTTAATTGTAAAATTATAAAAAAATTAATTTATTACAAATATATTATATTTTAACAAATTTATCTATTGAAATAATTTTAATAATTTTTTCTAATGAATTTAAATTAATTAATTTTTTTTAAAAAAATTTTTAAAGTTAAAATTTAATAAAATTTTGATAATATATTTAAAAAAGTATAATATAATTATAAGTAAAACTTGCTATTTGATTTAAAAAAAAATTATTATGTATTAAAATTATAAATCAAAATATAATTATTGTTATTATTTTTGTAATGAACGATAAAAAATTAAATAAATTGATAAATTAAAATTTTACAAATTAAAAAATTCTAATAAAAAAATATATGAAATTTAAATACTGTGCATTATTTAAAGTTTGTAAAAAATTTTTATTCTTCAAGTTTTTAAATTAAAATTTTATTTAAAAAATCATATAATTTTATCAAAAAAATTTTTTTGTATTTTATATAAAAAAATAAATATTTAGATAAAAAACAAATATATATTTATTAATATACAATATATAAACTAATAACATGACTGTTCAATTGAAAAAACAAAAAGAATGTTTCGACTTTATCAAATCCATTAATTAAACAAAAATCTGATAAATTGCATGATCCCTTTTTAAAATCGAATACAGTATTTATTACAAAGATAATTGTTTTATAGAATTCAAGAATAAATTATTTTCAATTTTTTTTATAAATATTTTTTAAGCTATTAAATTGTTTTTTTATCTAAATAATAAAATAATAATAATAATAATAAAATGAAAGCAATTATTCAAATGGATTTTTATCATACAAAACCAATATGATATTATTTAGAATTTAAGACATGTTTTCAAATATTATTATTTATAATAAAGAATATATGCAGTATATATAACGAGATAATGTTTTGAATTTTGAAATTGGAAAAGAAAGCAAATTATTAAAAAAATTTATTATACGTTATACAAATTATTGGAAAATAAGCATTAATTACTATTTATTTTTCAAGGATGTAAAAGAATCACGGTAAACATCGAAATGAAATAATATTAAAAAAAACAACGCGATTACATCCTAAAGTATGCATAAAAATCTTTCCACCACCTCCACATTTAAGTCAAACTTGCGGTCATAGTAAGTTAACAAGTTAACAGACCTATACCATCGAAATATCTAAAGTCTTATTTTCTATTTTTCTATATTTTATGATTGTTTTTTTTAGGTTGTATAATAATAATTCAATCAAGACTCTTTTTCTAAAAATTGTTCCCAAAAAGGAAGTTCCAGTACATGGTTTATTTCTTTAACAACAATTTTCTTGACACTAACATCAGTATTCACTTCTTCACTATTCTCATTGAAATCCAAATAGTATAAGGTATTGATGTTAAATTCTTTCAGATAGCTGTAAAGTTTATCGTAATTACGACCAACCATCGATGGTCCGTGACT